TGGTCGGTGATTTAGGTAGTTTCCTGTTGTTGGGATCCACCTTTCTCTCGACAGCACGACACTGCCTTCATTACTTCAGTTGAAATCGTCTCCAGGTACCTGTGCGCGCGGAGGCCGGGCCGGGCGGGGCATCCAGGCTCCGGTCGTGCCAGGCCTGTGGTGGCAACCTCGGCTTTCCCCGCGCAAGAACCTCGTCCCTGCTTCCTTCTCAGAGCTCTGGCAGGCTGCTGGCCTCACCCCCATCTCCACCTGGCCCCTGCAGGTACGGTCAGGTTAGCTGAGCCTTAGCGGACGCCGGGGGCGTGGTAGGAATTCTGGGCCCGGGGCCATTCAAGGTCAGGGGCGCACACTTCCATCCCGAGCTTCTCCGGCTCCTGGCCCGTGCCTGGCCAGGGACCCCGCTATTCTCCTGCAAAGCCAGGGCAGCATCAGCCCCAATCCAGGGCAGGAAATAAGAAAAGATCCCTTTGCCAGTGAACACTCCGGACCAACTAGAACGGACAAGGCAGACGGGGGCTGGCATCCTGGCCTTGTCACTTACCCTTCTCTCTTGTAGCCGCTTTCCGCTCCCAGGAGTCGCCGTGGACTCTTTCCTTCCCTCTTTCTTTCCTTCCCTCTTTCCTCTTTCTTCTCTACCCTCTTTTCTTTACTTCGTCCCTTCTTTCCTTCCCTTTTCTTCAATTTTGTTTATTTTCTTTGATCTCTCTGTCCATTTCCCTCCCTATCTCCATTTCCTCTACTCCCCAGCTCTTCCTTCTGGAGGGACCTAGGGCTGGCTTGGGAAGAGTCAGGGTGGAGGCTGTCTTATTTTTTTTACCCTCTCTGTGCACTCAAGTAGAGATCGTGTTCTGACAAGGAAGGGTTCGCTGGGGCGTCTGTCTCGGGCTGTGGATCTGAGCGCAGACACGGCCTCGGTTATGATCACGACCGGATGGCGGCGGCCTTGCGTTCCTACTCCATCGGTCAGCAACAGCAGCCTGGGCGATCCGATGGGGGAGCATTCCCGAGGTTTTTGCAAGGAGGCCTTCGCCAGCTTCCCTCGAGGCCGGAGGCTGGGACCTGGGCTGAGGCCCAGCCAGGCTCTTGGAGGGCACTCTCCGGAAGCTTCCTGGGCTCTCGGGCCCTGCAGGTCTCAGCTCCGGCTTTAACCGCGATAAGGGGGCCTCGCCAGGGCAAAGACTGGCTGCTTGCTTGCCAGTAGCTTCTATCAGGTTCAGAGTCAGGGGATGTTGGGTATGGCATCCTTGTGCAGAAGACCGCTGGAGAAAGGGACCCTTCTAGCAACCGTGTTTCAAATAATAGGGGAAAGGAATTCTAAATTCCTGAACCATTGGAATACAAAGTTGAGTCCGTATTCCAAGTTGTGCTGGAAGCCAGTCGGAGGAGTCTCATTTTTACTGGGAGCTAAAAACAACCTCCATCCCTCTCCAGCCCCCCACTCGCACCGCACGTGGGGCCTTCAGACTGCTTCCATCCAGCAGTACTGCTCAGCTTTGGGCCCAGGCACTGTTTTCACTTCTTAGCCCCGGTTCTGGGTCCTGTTATCTGAAAGGCTCACACGGTGTTACCCTCAACTCCTCTGTCATTTTCACGACCCGAGTATTGGATTTGTTTTGGAGGCCAAGGTTTTAGAACTCTGGGCAAAAAAATACAGTTTGTAACCACTCCCATTTATTCTTTCTTTATGCACACACAACCCCTTTTACTTCCAAAATGAAAGCAGACACAAAAACCTGAATGGTCTCTCCTCAAACCTCTGGGCTGAGGAGGGATACTTTTGGTTTTGGGATCCTGCCCCCCATTTTAGGCACCAGTGAGGATCAGTTAACACTCAAGCCCTGCTAATTACTTAGTAGCTGTCCAATTTGGGGGGGCTAAGGCTATTTAAAGGACGGCCTTTCTATTTAAAAAATACTATAAATAATTCATGTCTTCTCTGGGTACAAAAAAAGTGGAAAAGGCAGCCCGTTTGCAGACAATTACAATTAGGAGCGAAGGTTTCCTCCGGGTTAATTTTCTTAATGAAAATCTCAGAGGTTCCCCAAACTGCAGGATATTTGGGACACCTTGGGCTGTGGAGGGGATGGGAATAGCCCGGAGGACTTTATACGGGAAGGACAAATATTAGTGCGGGAGGGAACTGAGGTGGCCAGGACCCCCTGGCCAGTGGTAGGAGTTTATTGTGTTGGTCACTTCCCTCTTCCTTCTTCCGGAGGGGAACCCGGTTGGTCTCCCTGTGGCTTTTCAGCTGGGGGGAGAGCCTGACATTTGAAGGTCCCCATTGAGGGATAGGGGTGTATCAGGGTTTGGGGAGGGGTTACTGGGACTGTTGGGGAGATTGAAGGCAAAAAAACAAGAGATGGAAGCAGCCCAGTCCACCCGCCCGCCCTCGCCGCCAGGGAAGTGGGCTAATGAGAAACACACTCTTGCAGGCACAGTGTTCACACGTGAATTTAATTACCCCGTTTTTTTAGGAGTCGCTGCTTTCCATTTGTATTTGGTGGGTTTTTTTCTTCCTTCCAATTAACAAAGAGGCCGAGGCCGTTTAATTTACCCCTGAAAGGCTCTGGGGGGGTGAGAAGCACCCTCCTCAATTTGGTCAAGCTGAGGGATGGGATTAAAGTCAATGCCCCATGCCCCTCCTCGGTTTAATTTCTGGCCCTGGCCTTGAGCTGTGGCCACCTCACGTTGGGTCTTGTAACTCCGCTGAGCCGCCCGGCCGCGTGGGTTAGCCAGGCGGGCCCGCCAGGGGCAGTGGCCAGGGAGGGAGGAAGGAAGGAAGGACAGAAGGAGGGGGCCTGAAGGATTCATACTGGGCCCGGAGGCCTGAGCCACCAGGTCTCTTAGGCCGAATTCGCCTGTTATGCTGCCTCGTAGGGTTTTTTTTTTGCAGCTCGGGTTAGGGGAGTGCGACTAGCAGAACTCAGCATTAGAGCCTCGGAGGTCGGAGCACGGGGCTGGGGCGCCAGCTGTGTCCAAGGGAAGGGGGGGTCATGGAACGCGCGGCCCCAGAAGGCCCCCAAACACTGGGCTCAGCGCTGGCTGGCTGCTCCCTGGTCGGAAGCTCGCTGGAGACTCAGCGGTACATTGGGAGCTGCCTGGACACCCTGCGATCCGGTCAGGCCGACCCCAGGGGCCCTCCATAGGCTGTGTCCTCCGGGCGGCCTGTCCCTGGCCAGCGCGCCCGGCAGGGCCCGTGGCGGCTCCGTTTGGGACGGCTACTGCGTTGAATTTGACTTTCTGAAGCCGTCCCGGGTAAACTCGCATCTCCGGGGACTGCGGGGGATTATTTACAGGGAGCCCGCCAACCAAACACAACAGTCTAATTTAACCTTTCCAAGTCCTCGTAAATTTTTACAACTGGGAGCCACGGCGAGGTAAACGAATCTGTTGGTCGTTCCCAACTTCCCACCAGCCTGTGTGGCTTCTGAAACAATAACTCCTTATGAAATATAAATATAGATTTAAATACAGTAGAGCGAGAATGCGATTTGGCTGCTTTTTTATGGCTTCAATTATTGTCTAATTTTATGTCGGGGGGCTCTGCCGGCCGCACTCGCACGCGGGGCCCGCGCCGGGCTGATGGCGGCGTGATTAATTGTGATATAAAATAGTCCGCTGAAGAAGTGTGTGTCTGGTGGTGGCGGCGCGAAGGGGAGGGAGTCCAGACGCAAGGCCAGATTTGATCTTTTAATCTTCGTTGGCCACAATTAAAACAAACCCGATCGTTGAGCGCTGCGATCTCTTTGCATAAAAACATATGGCTTTTGCTATAAAAATTATGACTGCAAAACACCGGGCCATTAATAGCGTGCGGAGTGATTTACGCGTTATTGTTCTGCTGGGCGGCCACGTGACGCGCGTGGCCAATGGGGGCGCGGGCGCCGGCAACTTATTAGGTGACTGTACTTCCCTCCCCGGTGCCACCAAGTTGTTACATGAAATCTGCAGTTTCATAATTTCCACGGGTCAGGCCGGCCGGCAGGGCGCGGGGTGCGGCGATGGCCACCACGGGGGCCCTGGGCAACTACTATGTGGACTCCTTCCTGCTGGGCGCTGACGCCTCGGACGAGCTAGGTGCGGGGCGCTATGCTCCGGGGGCCCCGACTTCAGCCCATGCAGCTTCCAGTCCAAGGCGGCGGTATTCGGCGCCTCCTGGAACCCGGTGCACGCTGCGGGCGCCAACACGGTGCCCGCGGTCTATCACCATCATCACCACCACCCCTATGTGCACCCCCAGGCGCCCGTGACGGCGGCGGCGCCGGATGGCAGGTACATGCGCTCCTGGCTGGAGCCCACGCCTGGTGCGCTCTCCTTCGCGGGCTTGCCCTCCAGCCGGCCTTACGGCATTAAACCTGAACCGCTGTCGGCCAGAAGGGGTGACTGTCCCACGCTTGACACTCACACTTTGTCCCTGACTGACTATGCTTGTGGTTCTCCTCCAGTTGATAGAGAAAAACAGCCCAGCGAAGGCGCCTTCTCCGAAAACAATGCTGAGAATGAGAGCAGCGGAGACAAGCCCCCCATCGATCCCAGTAAGTGTCTCCTCCCTCCAAACTGGCTGCCGCCTCCACGCTGGCCACCCGGATCTGCCAGCCCGCCAGCTTTCTCTGGAGCCCGCCTTTGCACGCCTGGGAGCCTCCCGAGCAGAGGCCCGGAGCCAGAAGTTGCTGTTTGGGATGCCTCGGACGGAGGCCCCAAGTCCACAGCACAGCGCTTTGACAAGCGGCCCGCTGGGCTGGGGGGAGGAGGTGGCTGCTACCGAGAGAGGGGGCGGGGCGGGTGCTGCGGGCAGCGCCAAGACCGGCCACCCTCTCCCTGCTGCCCCGGACCAGGACCGAGATCCTTTGGGCCGTTCTTCGAAAGCAGCGTCGCAGAGTCTTTTGTGACTAAATTATCCCCGAGCGGTGGCTGCCTGCCTGCGCCCGGATGCTGGGGAAGACGGCCGATTCCCTCCACTTCTTGTCGTCAGCCGGTGGCGGTGTAAATCCTGCCCAAGATGAGGCTGCAAGCTACCGGGCCATGAGGGCCCCCAGGCCAGATTATTCTAATAAACTGGAGAAGTGACCAACCGCCTTAGGGCTTCTAGGGGCCGAATATAGGCCTGCGCGCTCCCACGGCCTTCCAGGGTCAAACAAGGAGTGGGGAGAGCAGAAGGAAAGGTGGGGAAGGGAGGACACAGAGTTATTGCGAGGGAGCAGAGAATATTAATCTTGCCACGCGAATACAGGGCAGCATGGTTTCCCCCTGCCTGGCAAGAAGGAGATCTGTTTTCCAATTTCACTCATCACACAATGTTCTGAAAGTGGGTGGGGAGAGGAAAGAACAGGAGCACCGAGGAGGAGAAAGGAGGGCCTCCGAGGGGAGGGGAGCGGAGATTTTACTGCGCGCAATTGTAAGTGACCGTCTCCGCTTCTGTCTGCCAGGGGTCCATTGTGTCCCAGGCTCTGCCGCCTTCCCTAACCAATTCAGCAGCATCCTGCACGGTGGCCGGTGGCCGGAGGCCCCAGGAGATCCCCCAGCCCCCAGCCCAGGTGGTGGTGGGGGGGTGTGCTTCTCCTTCTAAATCCCATTTCTCTCCCCCCCCAACCCCCGCAGGCAACCCGGCTGCCAACTGGCTCCACGCTCGCTCCTCGCTCCAGAAGCGCTGCCCCTATACTAAAATCCCCATTCTCTCCCCCCCAACCCCCGCAGGCAACCCGGCTGCCAACTGGCTCCACGCTCGCTCCACGCGGAAGAAGCGCTGCCCCTATACTAAACATCAAACGCTGGAACTGGAGAAAGAGTTTCTGTTCAACATGTACCTCACCAGGGACCGCAGGTACGAGGTGGCCCGACTGCTCAACTTGACTGAAAGGCAGGTCAAGATCTGGTTCCAGAACCGCAGGATGAAAATGAAGAAAATCAACAAGGACCGAGCAAAAGACGAGTGATGCTACTTGAGTTCATTTCGGAAAGCAGATGGAACGAGAGGGCAAGAGAAAGGACTGCCTGTCCCCTTCTCCCACCCCCATACCACCCAAGCCTCCAGCACCCCCGCACAAAGCGGCCAAACTCCAGGCCTCATCTCTCCCCCTGGCAAACCTTTCTCAGGCTGGCTCCTTGGCCTGCCGCTTTCATGGAGGAGGTATTGTAAGCTTTCCATTTTCTGATAAGACAAACAAATAAATAAATAAAAAGAAGAAGGGGGCATTAGCGCTGATGGCTGTGTGCACGCTACCTTGTATATATTTTATAAAATCTACCTGTTCCTGACTTAAAACAAACAAACAAACAAAAAAAAAAACAACTACCTTTTTATAATGCACAACTGTTGACTGCGGGCTGTATAGATTTTAGTCTGTGTAGTTAATTTAATTTTCTCTTTGTTCGGCAGAGCGATCTGCCCGATACTTGAACACTGTGTTTTATTGTGGTAATTATGTTTTTGTGACTCAAACTTCTGTGCTGGGTGACGCACCCGTTGTGATTGTGAAAGATAGAATTCAATTTGAACTCAGGTTGTTTATGAGGGGGAGACAATTGCATAGAGTATAGCTCTGTAGTGGAATACGTCTTCTGTATAACTAGGCTGTTAGCCTTTGATTGTAAATTAGCTGTAAGGATTTCTCAGTGAAATAATTTTTTTTTAAAGAAAGGGTTCTCTGGGATGCATAGATTCATGGTTTTCTCCACTTTTGAAATCCAGGCATTTTAGTTTCTACATGCTCTATAGACCTGTCTGGTCCAGTGTATATAATCCACATATGAAAGAAAAAGCAATCAGACCAGCTTGAGTACTGTGTTTGCACCAGACAAACAGGGAGGAAATTCGGAGCTATATGTATGTGCAGAAGGTGACTACCTATGGTTTATGTTTAATTTTAACTGGGGGAAAGTGATACTGTAATGGAGCTAATTTTATTGATAATAAATTATGCATTGTGAAACTGCCAGTGGGCTACGGGAGATTTGTATTCTTGACGAATCTGGGGTTTCCGTTGGGGGCTGAACATACACTGTATATTTTGCAATAGTTACCTCGAGGCCTACTGACCAAATTGTTGTGTTGAGATATTTAACTTTTTGCCAAATAAAATATATTGATTATTTTATTTTATTTTTGTGGGTCAGCTCTTTGCATCTTCTCCTGGGGCACGGAGGCCTTGATAGTCTCTGGGTGGGGCCCTGTGGGTGGAAGAGGACAGAACCTCCATTTTGTTCTGCGGGGCTTTGGGGAGCTGGAACCTACGGCAGAGCCACGGGCTGGCCTGAGGGCTCGCACAGGCCGGCTGCTCAGCAGCCCCAACAGTGGAATAAAGGAGGAAGGCGGAGAAAAGCCGGGGAACAGGGGGCGGCGAGGCCGGGTCCCCCACTTTGTGTCCATTTGCCAGAAGGCCAGGAGGTCTCTGAGGAACTGGGCTGGCATCTGGGGTATCGCTGGCCAGCACCATTCTTCCATCTTGGCGCCCCAAGAATTGCCCAAACGGAGACTGCTGGACCTTCCCTGGTGGGGGGTGGGGGGGCGTGGGGGCAGCGGGACCACGAGCTGAGGGCCTGCTTTCTAAAGAGTCTCCGAGGAGGGAAATGGGAGCCCGATCGCCCCAACAACGTGGCTTCGGGAACAGATGTTTGGGAGCTCGCAAGCTCTCGGAAGACGAAGGCCTGCGCCCCTGCACCCCCACCTCCTGTTGGGCAGGAGGCCCGGGGGTGCTGGGCCCTGATCCGCGCGCCCCTCCCCGAGCACAAGTCCTGGCAGAGGCAGGGCCCAGGCAAGCGAGGAGCCGGAGCGCCATAAAAGAAAATGAGGGCTGTTACTGTTTATGGGGTGTAAAGGGCTGCGGGGGAACGGCACAGCCTCGGAGCCCGAGCGCCTTCTAGATGTGACCGGAGGGTTCGGCCTCATCTCCCCCTTTTCTTTTCTTGCTCCCCGCCCCCCCCTCCCACATCCCCCGCGACTTCTGCAAAGG